AATACCATTTTATAAAAAATAGAAGAAAAGAAATTAAAATTAAAGAAAATGATAGAGAATATCCATTTAATGAAAATGGAATTGAAAGAAGTATAAATAAAAGTATTGAATATTTTACAAAAGGAAAGATGTATGATTATAGTATAAAAATGAATGAAATATTAATTGAATATTATAAATATAAAGAAGAAATGAATAAAGTTTCAGAATGTTATTTGAAAATGGGAGAATTATATAAAATGAAAAATGATAAAAGTCTCATGTATATTGGAGAATATTATTTTGTAAAATTTATAGGAAAAGAATGGGGTGAATTAGAAAACAAAGAATATATCTATCGATCAGAATTACGAATTGGAGAAGCAATTACACAAATGACAAAATCACTTGGTGTTACATTGAATGGAACTATTACAATAATTAATCAAAATAAAGACATTAATGAATTACCATTTAATACATCTTTTATTCAAATAGGTTCTGTTAAGAAATTAGAAGATAAAGATCAAACAAATAAATTCATATCTGAAATACCTATCATTAAAACAAAAGATAATAAAAATATAACTATAAAAGATATATGGAAGAAAAAATTATATATTACAACAGAACATCCTCTCCCTTCTGAACTCATAAGACAAAAGGTTCTTCATATTGAAGAATATCTTTGTACTCCAATTGAATGTTGTATTGATGATGTAATTAAGAAGAAGAAACAACTTACTTCACAATTTATTATTTCAACTCAAAGAAACACTCCTACTATGACTCTCTTATCTCTTTTACAAGGTTCATTAATTCCTCGTTTGTTATTGTTTTTAATTTAATAATTATTACTCATATATCTAGAAGTGAATGGTGGAATTATTGAATATTTTGAAATGATCAAAAGTACTGATATTAATAAAGAATATCGTGAACAATTGTTGAATGAAATAACTTCATTTCTTGATTTATGTAATGAATGTTTAAATCTTTATGAAACAATATTAAACAAGAAATATTTTCAACTTCATTTAAAAATGAAAGATGGATTACATTCTCTCTATTCAATTTTGAATTCTCTTATTATTAATGATTAATTATACTCTTCTTCTTATTTAATTCATTTTTATTTCTATTCTAATATTTATATTTTATATATTATTATTGTTGTTGTGTTCTTTTCATTGTATTAATTTCTTTTATATTTAATAATTTAAAAAGATCATTTCTTTGAACTGTTATTATCTCCATAATTATCTTTATTATTTTATTTATGAAATACATATTTATTGATTTTATTCTATTCTATTTATCATTTTATTTTTGTATCTTTTGTTTAATTAGTATTTTATGTTCATCTGGTAATCAATAATATTTAATATTTAGAATAAATTGTTTATTTTGTATTCATTTGAAATATCATCATATAAATCATTTATATGTGAGTTTTTGAGATATTTATTAAAAGATATTAATGTTAAATAAAGTATTTTGATTATGTAATTCATCTCATTAACACTCTAACATACAATACATTGAATTAATCTATTCATGTTTTTACTATTATAATTGAATAATAAGAAAATAGTTAATAAAGATTAGAATATTAAATGGTTCATATCATCTTACAACATATTATTGTTATTTATCATTACATTATATAAACAATATATAAATTCATTAATACAAATGAAAGTGTTAATATGACAGTATAAATGATGA